GTTTGTGTCATGGGGTGTGCTGTGCCCTCATTCTGGACTCCCAAGGTCCCTTGCCCCAGCTTTCTTTCCCAGACCCTTTCAACAGACTCCCAGCTTCCTGGCGCCACCTCCACATTCACTGTTGTTCAGCTTGGGGTAGCTTTGTCTTGATCAGCCAAAAAAAAGAAAAAAGAAAAAGCTTGACTTAGCTTTCAAAGGAGTAGATCGAGCCCATTCCTCTCCTCAAAATATTCCAGCCTCCCATCTCTCTCAAAGCCAGTGTCCTTACCACAGCTCACAAGATCCTCCAGGGTCTGGCCTCAGTTTCTTCACTGACTTCAGCTCCCACCACTATTTCCCTTACCAACTGCTCAGGCACCCTTTCAGATCTGGGGCTGGGGCTGAGAGAATGTCTTAGTGTCTTCCCCGGGTGCTGGCCTGTGAAGTCTGCCCTTTAATAACCGAAATCCGTAACCTGTGCCCCAGTCCCACATGGCCTTCTCATTATTCTCAGATGCAGTGAGCAGGCTCACACCCTTTGCACTTACTGTTGTACAGTCTGCACCCCGATTTCCGCATGCCTGTTCCCTCCCTCCATTCAGGCCACTGTTCAAATATCTCCTCATTAGAGGCCCTCGCCCACTATACCTACATGGCAGTCCTCCACCCTGCCATCCTCTGTCTTTCTACCCAGCTTTCTCTTTCCTCATAGCACCTTCCGATCCCGGACATGATGTTGCAGACTCCATTGTCTGTTGTTTTAGTGTCTGTCTTCCCCGCTGGAATCCTCCTAAACAGGGGCAGGCACATAGTCAACACTTGATCCACATTTGGTAAATAAGCGGATGAGTGACTAGACGTGGATCCAAAGCCTGGCGTTGCTATTTGGTAGCTTTGTGATATCACACAAGCCACCTAGTCACCCTGAGCCTGGTCTTCCTGACTGTGAAGCAGAGGCAATCCTGTCTGCCAGCTGGGGTGGTGAGAATGAAAGCAGTGTTGCATGGGAACGGGGCTCGGGCGACTCCTCGGATGGCACTGATGTTACCATTCTGTGCTTGTGTCAGCTGCATTCAGAATGTGCTTCTTGCTTAAGGCTCCTGAACACCCCACACACTTCCAGGGCGCTTGCGACTCTATGACCTACTGGGGAATCTGCAAGATGCTCAAGGAAAACACAACCGGCCATGGGGCAAGGCAAGAGCCTGCCTTGTACAGAGGAGCTCTGCATTCACATGAGGTGACCATAGCCTTTATATGGAAGACCGGTCCACCCCGGCCATCCCTGCTACCTTCTGCTCTCTGTTCACGAAGCCCTGGAGACCACCTCTGCTGGCCAGATGAGATGGCCCTTTGTGAGTCCAGCACCCCTTCCACCATCCACCTCCAGCAGCCTCTCACACGCTGGGCTTGCAGCAGGACGCCCAGCCAGTCACCACAGACGGGGGCTTCACTGAATTTCTCAGGGTGTCCTTGAGACGGACAAAAGTATTAAAAGGAAGAAAGATTCACAGTGTTACTTTTTTAGCAGGCTGGAAGATACCTGGGCCCTTTTCTGAAACTTTTTAAAAAGGAAATAGTTCGTTCATTGAAAGTCCTGCCATTGTCAGTTTCATGTTAAGATACTTCCTTCAGTTTATCATGTCTGACAACTTGCAAAGAAGACAAGGCCATCAAACGTGCGGCGCACTGAGTGCACCCTGTATGTGGAGTCTGAACACAGCACTTGGGGAAGATGCTCAGAGCAGAAGGACCCCAGTCCCTGCCCTTGAGGGCTTCCTGTGCCTGAGACTTGGGGGGCTATGGGTGATGTGGACAGGCGGGCTGCCTCATCTGAGCCAATAAATTGCACCAACACAGATAACAGTGTGGTCTTCAGGTGGGATGTGGATGGGATCTGCAGCTCCTGTGTTTAGATGATGAAATAAGACACTTGTTCTCTCTGTCAATTTAAAGTTGGCAATTGACACAAGGAAAAGGGGATCACTGGCACCTGGAAGATGATGGGCAGAATGGTGATCCAGTTAGCATAGTTATCAATAAGCTAATGACATAAAAGACACAGGTAACAAATGGGTAAGGGAGTCAAAGGGAAAGAATAATGGCATGACAGAATAAGGACCTCTCAGCAGGCTAGGCTGCCAATAAATGTGAAGCGTTGCTTTTGGGATCAAAAGGACAATCACACTGAAACAGGATGCATTTTGACAATCACTTATTTTAAAAAATGCAAATTTTATAACTGACCACAAGCTTAATAGGGGCCAACCACGACAGAGCTGCTAAGAATCACAAGCAGGCTGGTGGTGGTGGCTCACGCCTGTAATCCCAGCACTTTGGGAGGTCAAGGTGGGTGGATCATGAGGTTGTGAGTTCAAGACCAGCCTGGCCAATATGATGAAACCCCATCTCTACTAAAAATACAAAAATTTGCCAGGTGTGTTGGTGGATGCCTGTAGTCCCAACTTCTTGGGAGGCTGAGGGAGAAGAATCACTTGAACCTGGGAGGTGGAGACTGCAGTGGGCTGAGATTACACCACTGTACTCTACCCTGGGTGACAGAGTGAGACTTCATCACAAAAAAATCACAAGCAGTCGGTGGTTCATGCCTGTAATCCCAGCACTTTGGGAGGCTGAGGGGGGCAGATCACAAGGTCAGGAGTTTGAGACCAGCCTGGCCAATATGGTGAAACCCCATCTCTACTAAAATTACAAAAATTAGCCGGGTGTGGTGGTAGGTGCCTATAGTCTCAGCTACTCAGAAGGCTGAGGCAGGACAATCATTTGAACCTGGGAGGTGGAGGTTGCAGTGAGCCAAGATCGTGCCACTGCACTCCAGCCTGGTCATAGAGACTCCATCTCAAAAGAAAGAAAATAAAAATCACAAGCAGTGCTGGGGAGGCTGTCTGATAGAAACATTTAGCTCCTTGGAATCAGAAAAAAACAAATAGGTTCAAATCTCAGCTCTGCTATTTACTAGCTATGTAACCTTAGGTTATCCATAGCCCTCTCTGAGACTAAGAATCTAGCTGAAAGGTGATGGCAGCGCCATCCTTAAAGGGTTCTTTTGAAAATTAGTATTAGGGTACATAGAGGACCAAGCCCAGTGTCTAGTAGAATTTGGCAGATCTTAGCACATAGAAAGCCCCCAATAAATGGTCATTGTTAGTAATTCACCTGCTACAAAAATGTAGAGCTTAAATTTTTTAAAGGTAAGAGAAGTCCTTGTCTATTCTATGCCTTTCAGGCCCATGGAAGTATTATTTCCAGACCTAAGATAAATGGGAAAGCAACCAGGTCATTGAGACTTCAGGTGAGGGATAGAGCAGAGTCAGTCTAAGACAAAAAAAAAAAAAAAAGAGTTTCAAACACGTGGCATTTTGATGTTGTTGTTCAGATATTTTAGGAACTGTCAGATTAAGAAAGATATGCTATGCTGCTCCAAAGAGCCAAAGTAGAGGTGAAAAGAAGTTAGTGGGAAATGTCTTGGCTCAAAGCAGGAGGAAACAGAGCTGTCCACCATGAAATGTGCTATCCTGCAAAGTAGTGAGCTCCTCATCCCTAGAAGTATTAGAGCAGAAAGCAGTTGACACTCTCTCAGAAACATTATAGACGGGATTTCCATAGATTGACACTGTTTATAACTTCAAACTCTCTTTTTCTGGCTTCACATTGGCTTTGTCCATGAGCAGTTGCAAGTACTCGATCTCCACCTTCAGGGCTTTCAGGAGAGTCAACACTGTTCCATACCCGTGGTGGAATCAGAGGAGAGCCGGTGCACCGCTGTCTTGAAAACCTGGCATGGAGGGAGGGCTGTAAACGACTGACCGCATTTATTGTTTCTCTTATCACAGAGTCGTATATATGTCAATATTAATTGTAGACATTTTACTATGCAGAAAAACAGGAAGAAGAAAGTAAAAGTCACCATAATTCCTCTACTTAAATGTAATTGATATTAACATGTTTGATGATATTATTTTATAATAATTGATATTATTTATTGAAATGTTATAGAAGGGATGTCAGAAATGTTATAGAAGGAATCCAAGGTTCCTGAAGTTAAGCACGTAACTTGGGCAGTTCACCCTCTTTGAACTTCAATGTCCTTATCTGTAAAATGGGAGTAATAACACTTATCTCAAATAAATACTATAAGGATTAAGTCTGAGCACGTCTGGAACAGCACATGGACAGTAGCAGAGTCTCCCCTACATGGAGTAAAAAGCAGGGCTGTATGACTTCTAAGATGTTGTCTGTCAAGCTCAGAAAAGCAGGGCAACCACAAAGAGACTCCTAGGAGAATAAAAAGTCCCCACGCTCTGGGCTAGGAGAGAACCGGCTTCAGATGAGCATGCTAGCCAGAGCAGGCAACCAGGCAACCAGCGGCAGTCGCGTGCAGGAAGACAGAGGTCGCCATAAGTGGGGATGCAGATGCACGCAGCAGCTGATCCCTGCTGACGTGCTCAACCTTGCACCGGACCTCATCGTGGTCCTGTCGCCAAGGCTTGGGCTCAGCCCTGGTTGTGAATTGACGTGGCTTGCACTCATCAGGCTTGAGGACCACTGCGGCAAGGGGATTGAGAAACAGGAGACACGATTCTGAGGCTGGAAATTCAGCACCTCCACTTGGGCAGAGAAAGATGTCAGATGGTTTAGAGAGGTTTCCTTGTTTGTGAAGGGCTCTTTATCAGAGGATAAGGAAATGCTATTTTGCATCTTCCCTGGAGACTCAAGAGGAAATGAGTGAGCTCAATAGTAAAAGGATTAGTGGAGATGGAGGCAGAATTCCCTTCTAGTGACAGATGTTGGCAGTGAGAGGGACAGCAGAGAGAGATCAACCCAGGAAGCTGCTCCCCTTAGGGCTTCCAGCTGAGCAGAGGTTGCCACCAAGAGGTCCCAGAAGGAACTCATAGGGGCCCCTTTCTTGGAGTGCCCTTGAACTCTGTCATCTGCCCTAAATACACACTTTTCCTTTTACCTTTCTTTTTCACCGTCCCATCGGTACCTTCCTTCTACAGGAATCTCGGAAAACATGGCCGTGCCTCCCACGCCAGACCAGCAGGAGGAGAAGCTGCGATCACAACTGGAGGAAGAAAAGAGAAGGTGCCCTTCCTTTTCAGCCACACACAGCCCCACCCCAGCCTCCCAAGGTCTCAGTGTTGTCCTGGAGCTGCCCAGGGCAGGACAGAGCAGAGTGGCCAACTCCTAGCCCAGGGCTGGAGCTACTCAGGGACGTGGGTCCAGCAGCTGGCTCCTAAAATAGCAGGAAGAGGAGGAACTGCCTTTGAGCAGGCAGGTGTGAAAGGCAGGAACCCAGGCGGTGTGAGGTTAGAATGCAGAACTAGCCAAGCCAGGGCCGGGAAGCAGCTGGGCTTGTCCACTGCTTCCACCTAGAGGAGCCAAGAAGTATGACCACGGTGATCTTCCGCAGGCCTGTGGCTGAAGCCCACTTCCTTCCCGAGTCCTGAGAATATCACATTCTCAACGCAGCTGCAGGCATTTGGGGTCGCAGCGTGGTCACCAGATCTCACCACACGTGCTGGTCAAGGTGCATCGATTCATCCATTTGTGCATTCAGCACATGTGTGCTATCTCCCCCATGCCATGGTAGGGTAGGTTCTGGAGAGACTAAAGTCACCTTCCCTCCACAAGAAGCTGGTGGAGTCACTGCAGCATATTTCCTGCCCCACCCAAATCTCCAGCTGACCCGGTGCACCCCTCCCCTCCCCCCACTCACACGCACACCCAGGAGATCAAAGCCCCAGGCGCTGGTCTTCAGGTCACTCCTGGCAGGTGTGCACGTGTCTTCCTATAGAAGGCTCTGACCACCCGAGCACACACACCTCTGTCGCTCTCCACTCCCTCGGGGTCTCCCCAGTCATCCATTTTCTCCCTCACTCTGTTCATTTTCCTCAGTTTCTTTCCAACCC